ATTCTCTAATATAATCACTAAACGAGAATTAAATCCGATAATATTAGAAAAACGCAGATAGGTGTTACTAGAAGAGTTCGATGTAGGTTCTATGATCTATGTCTTTCAGGTATCGATATTCGACGAAGATTTTTCAACTTTATTAATAAACTAGCTAATCAATATTTGGCAATTTCTCTAGAAAAAAAAACGCCTAAGTTGATATTTATCAGTCAAACATTTTCAATCATTCAACATTTCTACGGTTATTTTCTGGGAAACGGTGGCCCAATAAAAATAAAAAGAATATGTTGGTGACCATCTCGTCGAATTCTATCCAGCCATATATATGTAATCGAGAAAAAAATCCACTCGAATCTTTCCATTATTGTCACCTTACTTTATCAGAATGAGGATCAGTTGTTGTTATATTAGACCAATTGACATGAACAAACATTTTTTTATATAAATTTGATAAACGTGTTGAAGATAGTCTTTTGTTTCTATTCGATTGATAGATTCGATAATGATACTCTTAATTAACTAAATTGAGAAGATAAGTTAAATAAAAAGGAAATAAATAGATTTACTCAATTGTTTTAGTTTTTTTTCGACGTAGCTTGAAGGATATCGGAACGTATTAGGATATTCATGAAGGAGTTTTAATGGAAATTGAAAGTAGAATTGGCTTTAATAAAAAAAAAAACAATTTAAAATTTTTTCTTTTCGATATAAAAGTCCAAACAAATTGTTGTTGATCATTTTCAATCGTCGAGTATTTTCATTGTTAAGAATTCGATTGTGTTGATATTGGTTTCTATTTGTTTCGTTTATTCTAGTTATTCATTTTAATTCATTGAGATTTTTTCTATTTTTACCAGCAAAATAAACAAGATCCTTTAATTTAAGACTATTTCTATTCGAACATTTTTAAGATCTGATAAATAATTATGTTTTACATAAAATGACATTCCACAACATTTCAAATTTCAAATTTGATAATCTTGTTATCCTTGTTGTTACTTTTTGAACAGTAGGAGATTAACGTTTTATATAAAATAATTACCTTTTTTCATCTTTTCCTTTATTATTAATTATAATAGGCAAATAAATATTTTAAATCTTAGAATAAATCATTAGGATCTAATAGGGGTTAATCAATTTGACGAAAGCTCCCTAGAATATCAGACTCAACAAAACGATTTATTCACCGTTCGAGATAGATCTCGAACTGATATTGAAATAAAATAGATAGGATATATTAGAGAGTAGTACTATTTCATCAATTTCTTACGAGAAAAACTTTCGAAATGTTATTTTGACGATCGAGTCAAGAATATGTGAATAATCTATCTCCTAATAAACTCTCACCACCCTAAAAAGAGTTGGTGGAGGTAGAGTATTTCTATTTCTATATATCATCTCTAGGATCTTTATCAGTATCACATCGCACAACTTTAATTCATCGTCAGATTAGTCTATTCTGAACGGTCTGAAATTTTTTGGCTGTTTTTATTCAAATATATGAAAAAAAAACAATTATTATCTAACAAGGGGGAAATAGCGGACTCCAAGCCAATGAAGTCCAATGGAGTCCAGTGGAGTCCAATGGAGTCCAATGGAGTCCAATGGAGTCCAGTGAAGTCCCATGAAGTCCAATGGAGTCCAGCGGAGTCCAATGGAGTCCAATGGAGTCCAGTGGAGTCCAGTGAAGTCCAATGGAGTCCAGCGGAGTCCAGTGAAGTCGTTTGAAATTCTGGAGAGCACTTCAAGTATATTGTAGAAATGCAATACACCTGTATATTGATTTTGCTTTTCATCACCTGCTACATAAAATTAAACTGGTACTAGGTTCAATTTTGAGACGGACGCACAGTATCTGTGCACCATCCATTTCCAACACATTGAATGAATAAAAAAATTTTAAGCAAGCAAAATATATCCTTTATTGAACAAAATCGAACAAAACTATAAGAAAAAGCAAAAAAAAACATTTATATTATCATTTGTTAACCTGTTGCACACGAAGTAATCGGTCATTTGAAAGTTTACTTTTATCTTCTATTAACAACCAACAAGCAGTTTGTTTATGTAAAAATTTTGTATCATGATTTAATTTCACTTTAAAATAAGTATGTTCAATATGAGGCTGCACTTTATCAACAAGTTTTACTCCAGAGAAATCTTTCTTTCTAGTATTTATTAAATCTCGAGGGTTGTTTTGTTCGTCTTCATCAATGTAATCGTTGTTAACAGAGCTATCATCATCGTCCTCACTCATGTTGAGATCATTTGTTGTTTCATCTTCATCATTATCATCATCACTTTCAAATACTTCATCATCTAGATTGCATATTTGAGAAGAGTAATTATGCTTTTGTGAATCGGAATTTAATTGTCGAAATAAATATTCACTTAATGGTTTTAATTCAAGAACATGATTTTTTTCCAATAAGTTCAATATATCTAGGCCTTCCAGCATATCAATAGCTTGATGGTAGGCATCAACAATAACTTGTTCGATGTCAATTTCATCAATTTCACGTTGACTGTGTGTAAATGATGATTGACGTTCAATTCGATGTTTGTAATGAATCGGAAAGACTAACTTATCAACTGAACCATTATGTAACTGTTTACATTTAATGTCATTCAATAATGATAACCTTTGGGCACGTCGTAGAAAATCATGTACTGTAAAGTTGACTATGGTTGAATAAATTCCACTTAACGCTCGCGTATTTCTAAAAATTGATTCACAAGCTTGCGAGTTAAAAATATGAATATGCAATGCTTGTGGTGGTAAGTGCTTTTGTTTCACAAGCAAAATTAAATATAATAAATTGTGAGCATTTATTTCAACCGATAAATACGCTGCTTGTGTAATAAAATATCTGCTTTTATTATTTTTTCTGGTTTGTGTTAAATTAAATGTTTTAAATTTAATCCAGGTAAACCATAGTCGGCAAAAAAAAACTACACACCAAGCAGATCGTAGTCCTACAATAAAATCTTATTATATGTAATCCAGTGTGTATAAGTACTCACTTTCAACTATTGTTGTTGTTTTTTCAATATAGGCTACTATAATCATTTTTAACATTCGAAGATAAAGCAAGGTTCCACGAGTATCAGCAGCATCATTTAAAATATTGAATAGATCATTAGATGTTAATTTAAAGCAAGAACTAAAGTTTTGACGATCTTTAGGGTTAATGTCAGATTTTGTTAGACCATGATCAAGTTTAGAATAAGTATCATTTTCAATAATATCATGCAAATGATTGATCGATATTGACTGATTTCCGAGACATAATTCTGCTGTTGCTGATAATAAACGATTACGCCATTTGGTTACCAAATGTGTCGGATCTTGAAAAAATAATAATAATTGTTGTTCACGAAGATAAAACCAAGACCAGTGTGATCTTATTTTTATTTGAAATGCTTGTGGGTGCTGGTGAACTTGAAAATTTGGAAGAGCTCCAAGAAAACCGCTCATTAAACGCATAGCACGTAGATATTTTGGATCCGCATCTATAAAAGAAATGCAGTTATTCTTTAATAAAATTTGAAAAAAAAACAATAATTGTCTCACCGGTAGAAAAGCCAATAATTCTGATATTTCTTTGTAAGGATTGATTAAATATATACCACCATCTCTGTAATATATCGTTCGCTGTTGCAGTATTGTCAATTCCATATGCTGACAATAGATAAGGACTTGATATGCTGCTGTTATCTGTGGATTGTACTGGCTGAATCATATGTACATTCAATAACGATGCGTTATCAATTGAATTGAACCATAATTTTAATGTATCAAATGAGTCAGTCTGATAATATGATTTAATTGGCACTCCACGATCAAGTAATGAAGGAAATCCAGTAAATGTATCTGTTATTGAATCATATTTAATTCTTTTAACTATACCAGTACAATCTTCAGAGCCGAATGCATATTTTACATTAAGACGATCAAAATGTTTTTGAATTTGATCGAATCGAAATTCTCCTTCACTGATTCTTGAATCTGAACTTGAAATCAATGAATTTAATAAAGATAGATGCGGTAAAGATCCAGGCAAATTTAATCTAATAAATTCATAGGTCAGTTTTCCACCTAAAATGTATAATGATAAAGCAAAATTCTTAACTGAATCACTATATCGAAAATTATTGCTTGATTTTGTCAAATTATCAGTGATAGTATCAATAAAATGTTTTAAAAATGTATTGTTATTTTGATCGCCTTCATTTTCATTGTCCACTCGTTGATACCAAATAATTAATTTTTTTAACAATGGATATTTGTTTATAAAATCAAATGATAAACTTGAGTTAGAATATTCATTACTACTTGTTTTAATTTGTTTTTGTTGCTGTTGCTTTAAAAATTCTAATAAACAATTTAAATTATTTATTAACCCAATCTTTACAATAAATGTTCCATTATCAAGTTGGAAACATGATCTTTCTCTTATCATTAAGAAACTAGATTCCGAACAATTCATATTAAATATTTCAAAGATATTCGGGTTTCGAATAAGAGATTGTGTAGATGTAATTGATTGAAATTTTAGAATATCCACCATTTGTTGTCCAACTAATGCTTCAATAAATTCATAAAAGTCATTGTTCTTTAAAGAAAAAACATTTCCTGTCAATCTATCATCCATCAGAAGAAAATGATCGATTTTTTATCTAGAAAACGAAATGTGCTGAGAGATAATAGTTTAGAATATGCTTGAAACCAAAAATTTGACATATTTTCCAAAGAGTTTCAGCTGATAAACAGCTGTGATGAATCACATGTCGATAATCTGAAGAAAAAATCCATTATTTGAAAAGATGGAATGTTAAAAACAATTGAAATATACTAGCTACGCTTGTATAGAGAACACCATGTTAGAAGCTATTGGATCATAATATTCATGAATCATTAAACCATTCTCGCTTGCTCTCCTTCTCTCTCTCTCTATTTCGAATTTTATTGTCACAAATATAACAAATATTTAAATATGTTTCAAACAGACACTCTTATTGATACATCAATCTTGCCATCTGATATCATGCTATTACGTGACGTTCAATTTCTTAATTTTGTTCGAAAAGAAGCTGGTGATGCTGCTGCTGATCTTTTTGAAATTCAAAGTATCAATTGTGTTAAATCTTTGTTGATGACAACTGATGTTTATTGTATTATGAATTTGAAAAGCAAAGCTTTAGATGGTTTTAAAAATAAAAATGGTTTTATGCTTGACGATGATACATTCATTATAAAACCTGGTATAAAAGGAAATGTGGACTATCTTATTGATTTGTTAAAACAAAAATGTACTGAAGATGCAAAAATATCAAAATCTTCAAAACGTAATCAATCATCATCACCATTAGATAGAACCACAGACACATCCTCAACTAACACAGAATCAACAATGACAGTTTTATCGAGTAATTTATCAAATGTTGTTACATCAAAATCTGTAAACTTATCACTGGATGAACATAAAACTTATATAATTGATACGTTGAATAATTGGTGCAAAAATAATGAATCGAGGCTTAATTTGTCAAATTTGTCAAATTTGTCCTTGATTGAAGGTCAACATTATTCTATCTCCATATTAAATGATGCAAGTGGTGTATTAAAAGCTAATATAAAATGTTGCTGTAATAAATGGATATCATTAACAAATAATCGTGGCAAATTTCAACTATCAAACTTTTACAGGCATTTACAGGATTTTCGTAATGATAATACATGTAATGAAATGAAAAAATTAATAAAAAATGGTAAGTTGATTTCATCAATAACAGCAGATAATCAACAATCTTTTACATCTTCAGCTACTGCATTAGATCAAGATTTATCAGCAGATAATCAACAATCATTGACATCTTCAGATAATGGACCAGATCAAGGATCATCAGTAGATAACCTCGTATCTGCTACAACAGTATCAGTCGCAATGACATCGAATTCGATATTGCTTAATTCTTCGTCCACCTCCATAACAACGGATGATCATGAAAGTCTTGAACAACCTTCGCCATTATTAAAAAATAAAAGTAGAGAGAAACGAAAGTTTCACTCAGTAGCATCATCTTGTAATACGAGAGAAGCAGTAAAGAGAACGAGAAGACAATAATATTTACCTTAGGAACATTTTCCTGTTTATACTTCTCGTTTTACTTCTTCATCGTATATCATACAGTATATAGCCTTTTTTATGAAGCTGAAATTTTTTTAACTTTACAATTTTCTTATCATTTTTAAAATTCGTCATTCATTAATTATTCTCATATTTATATTTTTTTCAGATTTTTACACTTTATCGGACGCTAATAAGTATTTACAATGATTGTGATGGTAAAAAAAGGAAATTTTTATTCGACAGTTATTACATAATCTGTTCTTTATGTCCGATAGCTTAAGGTGATAAGCAGCAGATTTTATCATAGTCGGGATTGCTGGACTCCAGATAAGACTGGAGTCCATTGGCGTCCAATGCAGTCCAATGGAGTCCAATGGAGTCCAATGGAGTCCAATGGAGTCCAATGGAGTCCTGGAGTCCGCTATTTCCCCCTTGTTTGGGTTGGCCGTTTTTTTTTTTTTGGATATCTTCTACCAATCAAGTTTGGCAGGCTTCACAAAATTTTTAGGATCAAAAAATCTAAAGTTTTTGCGAATTGCTCAGTATTTTGGTTCTCCAGCCTGAAGTATTCGGAATTTTCAAAAAAAAAAAAAAACGGCCAACCCGATTGGGTTTGTCTACCCGCAGTAAAAATTTCAGCTCAAACGGATGAAATCTATGGATTTGCGGGGGGGAAAACTTTTTGCAAGTTTTTGGCTTTGGGGTCTCTGGAAGTCCATGAAGATGACGTCCGGCAAATTTGTGTCTATGACAACTTTTGCTCTACTACTCGAGGTCTATCTACTCTGCAAGTTTCAGGAATTTTCGTTTGACCGTTTTTTAGAAACGCCGGAAAGGGGGGGGGGGTCCCCTTAAACAATTTTGATCAAAAGTCAGTAAGTCATCATAATTAGTGTAGATGTTCTAGAGTTTGTGTTTGTTCGTCAATGTCCACATTGAATTTTCTTCTCCAGTTTCATTATTTCGTATTCCTTGAATTCAACTAGCTCCATGAATCGATGGTGCTTCAATAATCAAAAAAATCTGAAATGCCATTTTCTGATAAAGTGCGAACAGCAGTTATACCAGCCATTCCAATTCCAAGAATGATAACCTTTGTTCTAATGATTCGAGTACCACACAAATTAAGAAAACTCATTACTAATACCAAACCAAGATGAATGTTTTGTTTGACTTTCATATCAACTGAAGTTATGCGAAGTTAAATGATACTTTTCTACAATTGGGAGAAAGCATGATGAAGTTAAAATATATTGACAAATAAACATGAATGATCGATCGTTTTGTATTCGTTAGAAGCGATGTTCTGAGGAACCCCTTCCCCACTGAATAGAGGACCACTGGGCTTCCAAGTTTTTTTTTGAAAATCATAAATTTTGACATGGCCTTGCATTACGATCAACTTTTTTTTATATTGTCACTTAAATTTAATTAGATTGCAGGCAAAGAACACCTTAAAAATTTTCTCTTAGAATCAAGGACAAATTTCTAGATCGTTCACAAGTTCGTACTATTAAATTCATGATGTAGTGTGCTTTTTACGTTAAGTTTCCCATTCAAGTGTTCATCTACTATCAACATTTCATGGATCTTACCATGGATGCAAAAACTCGACGTAAAAATAATATCTTGATTTGACATATTGTCGAGTTTTGAAGAAATTTTAAAAAGAATTTTAATAGATATAGCTCTGTTGAACAACTTCATTGTGGCAGTTTATACAAAATTCAAATACGAAACAATTCAGATCAAGTAGTCTCATGATAACATCGCACAATAGAGTGTCTCTTATTTTGTATGATCTTACATTTTCAGTCAAAGATTTGCTTATATTAGTGTTAAGTTAAAAGAAAATTACAATAATTTCGTTTCTGAGCTGTAGAATGATTCTATAATAGGAAGAAATTTGATAGAACTAAAATATTTCACGCATAATTTCTTTTCAATAGTTCTAAGACAGCAATACTTTATTAATATTTGTGCGTTCATATTTTCAATAGTTAGAAATCTTTAATTGTCTATTGGTAGAAAATGTATCCAGCAATATGCAAATAAGATACATAAACTGAGCTATAATTAAACAATGAGCTAGTTAATTCAATTTTCGAAATAGTCTATTTTGTTCTTGCTTTGAACGGCGTGGGCTTCTATTACGTCTATAAAATTATAACCTTGGGACTGGGCTTTTCTTATCAATGTTGAATATGTGACGTTGAGTAGATGTATTAATAGATTTTTTTTTAGTGATCAAATGCTTCACTGTGAGAGCAATTCAGGACTTTGTATTTTCTATTACATAAATGGTTCTAGTTTTGTAAAGTTTCTATCAGTCAGATAAATATCGATAGCAATCATACAAATATTAGTTTGATCGCATATATAAATAAAAAATATAATAAAAACTCGAGCTGTTAAGCGAAGAAAGAAATGAAGACTATACCACCGATTTAATGATGTGTATTTGGTTCATATGAAAGTTCTGTCAGAACATGTATCAGCGTGTCAGTAAGGTCAACATTGATTACTAGTTTACAATTAGATATAATCAATGTGTATATTGCTCGATGTCGTGTGTTGTATAATACGGATAGGTACAAAAATGAAAGTAAATAAAGAGTGCAAGGATACACTGTACATTTTATATTGCTGTATTATGATACAATCAAATAAATATGAATAAAATCTAAAAGTGGTCAATCGAGAGAGAAAAACAAGCTTTTTAGATCTATGCAAGGATTAAAACTTTGAATTTCTATGACATGATCCCAACAATGGAATGGCTTATTCTATTAGTTAAAAAGATTGACATATTGTATCTACGCAGAGATACTTAAGATATAGAAGAAAAAAAGTAATGCAACCAGTCCTATATTTAAGTGACAAAATAATGATTTCGTTACAATATGGATGAACGCTTTCACTCTATGTGAAATGGTCGAAATTTTAGTTATTCATTGGTAGACATAGACCTGTTACTCAATTCATTCGATATTCTGTCTATTTCACTTATAAAAGCAACCTTCCTTAAAAGAAAAGGTTGTTAATTAGTGATTTTGTCATTTTTTTTGTAATAAAAGTGAAGAGTAAAATAATAAGTTTTGAAAGAATTGTTTCTTGAAAAAATATTTCTTATGATTGTACTTCTGTCTACTTTAGGAGTACGAGAATGTGCCGTTTCTCATTTATATTCTAATTATTTGTTTGCTAGTGAAAGTAGATGAAAAATAAAATTTGATTATCCCATACTTGTTGAAGATGTTATTGTTGATTTCAACATAATTGAAAGTATGATAACCAGAATTATGCAAATAACCAATAAACTAAATGAAAGGACAATTTATAAAAATTATAAATCACTTTAATTGTAGGACAGAGATTTTGTTTCCATTCGTGTGTTGTACAGAAATAAAAAGATAGAGAGATTTTATATAAGATTTAATTAAAGAAAACTATTTTGTTTAATAAAATAATTAACCATAATTGTTCTATCTGTTTTCGTTGTATTTTGCTGTTCAGATATTACTATCATTGAATGATTTGGATTAATGTGTAATCGATGGCGAAATCAATAATATTGATATTAATGATAAGTTTTTGTAACTTCTTTTGATTTGATGTAAATTACGAATGAAAAATTTAATAAAAGAGACTTTAATTTATTTCAATGGAGATTCTAACGAGATCTAAAAATCTTATTACAGACTCACCACTGATGTTAAACAAGGGCAAACTTTTTGTGTTTAATCAAGATATTATCAGTATAAATGATAAATACCCAGGAGATTTAATCCGATAGTAGGACCGACACGGATCCGATATGAATCCGATCGGATTTTACATAGATTTCCGTTAATCCGATGAAATCTTATCGGAATCCGGGCAACGAATCGATTAACGGAATTAGACTGTCGGTATCCGATAGGATCTGAGTATCGGAATTTCACCGGATCCGACGTCCCGTTCTGACCCATCTCTTATATTGTTTCTAATTAGTTTCTGATGTTTAAGAGAATATATAAGTTTTTCCGTCGGATCCGTCAATAGATTCGTTGCCCGGAATCCGATCGGATTTTGTCGGCTGGTCGGATCCGATCGGATCCTATAGTTTCCGTCATTGGATCAAATCACCTGGGTAGCAGAAAATTCAGATGGATGTACTCTTATGTGTTTAGATGTCTTGACTCAATAACTTTCAGAATTTGATGTAGTATTCATTTTAACAACTGTAGTAAAAAATTAATGCTGTGGATATAAAAAACTATAAGCTATAAGAGTGACTATGACGGTCGCTATAACTACAAACAGGGATTGAAGTAATAGTTATGTGTTTAAGAGATTTTGCAAATAATCAATAAGCTTCTTTGTCATGTATTCGAATTTTTTTATTGCTATTAAAATAGACTTCATAAAGTAAAAGATCATGACGATGAAATCATGAGTAGTAAATATCATATTCAGGCATCGATATACGTTTTTCAACTGTATGCCATAAAAACAACTTGTTTGATGTTTTGATATTCTTATTTTGGAAACGGAGATAATACAGTTCGCCATAGCATAGATTTCAAAACATTACATGAATTACTATCTTTCACTTTCGCAGAAAAATTCATGTCACATTTCACTTGGATCTATGTGTACTTCTTCTACTTGCTTTCTTTCGCTTCGAGATTATTTCTTATATATCAAAATGAAATATATCTGAGATTAATTGTAAACTTGTTGAATAGTATTGAAAAATAATTCCTTATATTATATTTACCATGATTAATAAAAAAGAATAATTTTTCTACAATTAGTTTTTAACACAGTCGAGACGATTCAGTTTTATTTTGACAGATTCATTTTCATGTGTATTGGGTGTGGGTGTGGGTGTGGGTTTTGGGTGTGCGTGTGGGTGTGCGTGTGGGTGTGGGTTGGTGTTTATGCTCCTTCTTACCTCGCACATCGGCACCCAGACCCTCACCGACACCCATACCCACACCCACACCCTT